AGAGAATGAAAGAGAGATAAAGGAGAGATAAATAAATAAAGAATGAGAGAAGGAGAAAGAAGGAGAAAGAGGATGAGATAGAAAGAGGGATAGGAAGTGAGAGAAGGAAGTGAGGGAGGGAAAGAGAAAAGGAAGGAAGGAGAGAGTGAGGGAGGAAGGGGGGAGAGGGGAGAGTGATTGGAATATGCGTTGGACGTGTTCCAGGCAGTGAGTAGGGAGGGAGAAGTGGGGGGGGGGGGGGGGGGGGGGGAGAAGAGGGGGGAGAAGAGGGAGGGAGTTGGTCAGAAGAGGGGAGACGACGGCCTTTTAAGGCTCTGGAGGCTGGGCGATGTTAGTAGATAAATAGATACAAAGATACACGCACATATACAAGTATATATATATATATATATATATATATATATATATATATATATATATATATATATATATATATATATATATGTACATATATATATATATATATGCATTTATACACATACATATATTTCTCTCTAGGGCCTTAATAAGGTTCAATAAAGTCTATCAACAGCACAGACATGGGTATCATATACTCATACTTTATTACAGCTTGGCTCTGCCTCTCTCTGACTCACGCGTTTACAGTTGCACACATACATTTGTGTGTGTGTGTGTGTGTGTGTGTGTGTGTGTGTGTGTGTGTGTGTGTGTGTGTGTGTAGATAGATAGATAGATAGATAAATAGATAGAGAGAAAGAGATAGACAGATAGATAGACACACACACACATACCCGTGTATGTATGTATGTATGTATGTATGTATGGATATATGTCTGTGTGTTGATGTGAGTAGCAGTGTGGACGCCTATACACATCGCTCAATCATTTGCAAATTCAATCAACTGCAACTTTTATCGTGTGCGATGATAGTGGTGATATGGGTGATGCATTGATACTTTTGATATTCTCTCTGTGAATCATGTTTTCATTTTATATTAATGTACTAATTTATTCATTTATACATCAGTGGATTTTGTTCATTAAAAAAGTGCCCTGTTCTTCCCTCTCTCTCTTTTATCGGTCAGTTTCTATCAATATGTCTATATCTATTCATATTCTTATATCTCTTACTGTCTCTGTCTGGCTATCTGTCTGTCTGTCTGTCTGTCTGTCTGTCTGTCTGTCTGTCTGTCTCTCTCTC